ACTTTAATTAAATTCTTTTTATTTAGTTTATTCTGTATTTGTGTGCTGTTGGAAATACTGCAGATGCATGAAGATGTTTTGTTGCTAACATTTTTGCAGTTTAAAATAAGTCCGGACTTTAAAATGCAATGCGTGTCGGACACAAAATAGACACGTCTTTTTTTCAAATTAAGTAATTTAATATTAATCTGACCAGTTAACCGTTAATATTCGGTTAGCGAGGCGATGGTTGCTTGGCAAAATTAACAGAAATGATCATCCTTAGTTCACATCGATGTTCAGATACAGCATATTTCAATACTCAATTGTATACACATTTTTAATTACAATATGGATTTCACAAAAAGGGAAACAAACCATTTATTTATATAAATTGCTTATGAAAAAAAAAAAACAAGTTACCACTCTGCAGCCGCTGGCAGATTAGGTTAAGATTTAATTAAACCAACTCCTGGTTTTAATTCTGAATATAATTCAAAACATCTTAAAAATCCAGGAGGAGAATCCCAATGGATTTAACCACAAGTCAAACTCCTGTCATTGCCTTCAAGGTCTACAAAAATGCCTTGGCTGCCTCTGAGGTCTTCATGTTAGTCAGAAAGCCAACATGTTTTTCATTCCATAATGATAGGATATGCAAAAAAGCTTCTGCTGAAGCGAGAAACATCTATCAGTCTAGACACGCAGAGCACACCTAATCAATGACAGCATATAGAGGAACTCAAAAAAAGATGACAGATGACATAGAAACCATAAGCGTCTAGTGAAACATGAAAAAAGAAAAGAAAGGATAGCATGACCTATTTGTTTTATAGGCTAAAACAAATCTTTTGTAATCAAATTCCAAAAATATATTTAAATTCATATGACCCGAAGTTTCATAGACTAAATTTTAGGATATTGAGTATTACAAAAATATTTGACTAAAGGGTAAAAAAGGATTATGATGCCGACACCAAAATCCTATTACATATTTACTTAACAAAAGTCACTTTATATTCATAGGAAGCATATTGAATGCAAATACGCGCCAACAAAATTTAGTAAAAATAAAATATTAAATTTAGCTGAAAGTCAGTGTACAGTAGAGCTGCACGATTCTGGCTAAAATGAGAATTTTTTTTGCTTAAAATAAAAAAAAATAAATAAATAAAAATAAAAAAAAAAAAAAAATCACAATTTTCTCATGATTCTGTAGATGTAAAATAAAGCTTAATATGAGATTATTGTTTTTTCTTAAACAAAATTAAATCTGAAAAAAGGGGTAACCTGGGTGCCCTTAAAATTTCTTCAATAATTTACTTTTTCTTATTTCTGTCTGACCGGTAAATATATACAGTATAAAAAAAATAAAACAATAAATGCACAAATTTTATGATTATAATTAAAGTGTTAAAAATGAATGCCCTTTCAGGTCAGAACGGCCATTATAAGTGACATTTACTTAAAACAGGGAGAAGAACGGCACTGAAAGTATTGTGAAAGAAATTCCACTTTTTATTTTTGAGCCTGAGGATATTTGCCCTACTTCTTTGCCACACGTCAATCTCAATTTGTTTGAATTTGCCAGCAGCTATGCACATAAACCCAGTGAATATGACAGTCAAAATCAATATTATGACAAATCTGATGAGAAGAGTCACTCAGACACACCTCAGCTTACAACCTTTGGCCAGATCACAGCAGCAGTGAAAAGACATCGTTTCTGTGAGCAGATTTTACAGATAGCTTATAGATGGACCTGGTTTGATTTACACTGAAATTGCACAAGTCTCAAGAATGACCAACGCTGCGCTGTGGATTTTTATATGACACTTTTTCCAGAGTATTCTGATCAAAGAGGAAGACAGAGAGAGGCATGGGCTATTTGCTTGAGGCTAGGGTGTTCATCTACAAAGGATGCCCCCATCTATGCCTGAAATTCACTGTAAACATGCCAATGAGAGACCAGCATTGTGAAAAGAACAGTTGACCTTCCATCAGTGAACCACTTAAGCTGACAGAAAACCACATTGTAGAAGCTCAGCCACCATGACAGTGTGGAAAAACACAAATAAAAGAATCCAGATGTATTTATAGCAACACAAGTGGCTGCATGCAAATCATCCTTAAGTCTATAATTAAACTCACAGCTCGTAAAATTTAGAGTTGAAAATAAAAGTAGGGAAAACTGTTTTTATATCATTATAATTGTATCACTGTTATTATTATTATTATTTTAAAGCCACAGGAATGTATTGGTTTCACTGAACTGGTGGCGACTGAATTTGAATTAGCTTGATAAGTCAAGATTCTTATGGGGAGAAAAAAAATTATCAGCAAGCATGAAGCTGTGCAAATAACAAATGAACAGTAGCTCAGTTTTTCGTGTATAAGACTGTTTACAAACAGATTTATTTACTTTCATCCCAAGTTCACTTTATAACATCAGTTGAGTGTTTGAAATAACTTATTTTTGTGACCAAATGTGGTTTCATATTACAGAATGAGGATCAAGTTATACATTTTTTATCTAATTCTACACAGTAAAAAAGCTAGGTCAATCAGCATATGCAGATGTCGACAAAATTGTTGGTTTCTTTCAATTTTGTACAGGCCAGTTTTATTCAACCGGGCTCATTGGAAATATGTGGCCAGGGCTACATTTTTTAAAACCAACAAATATGTACACTGAATTACGTGTCCTTGCGGACTTTGTTTTGACAAATCTACTAGAGGGCGCTGTGTCCACAATTTCAAATACGTTTTCCTAATGAGTTCGTGTTGGTTTTATTAGTTTTTAATGCTTCTGCTGAACCACAATTTGAAACCAATATCTGATTTTCAGTAGTTTATTTTCAGTCACTTTTGATGAATCATTATTTTTTCAGTTGGGTTATTCCCTGACCACTCTAGTTTTTCATTTCTTTTTAAAATGGTTTCTTTATTGTTTTCTTCTGGTACATGACAAAATAATACAAACACGTATTAAAAATGATCCCTGGCAGGCCTATTAAATGTAAAGCTAGGATGTATACTGTGGTTAGTAACCACAAAAGAACAAAAGTACAATATTATAAAAGAAAACCCGGTGTCTAATTTTAAACTGTGTTACAAGACATTAGTCGCATAAGACCAGACGTTTTCCCACACTGGGATTCACACAAAGACCCCTGCTTTGTCCTTATCATGTAGTCTGTAAAGTACATGTTCATATGAAACTATTTTAGTCATTATAATTGACCTATTCTCTGGAATTGTGAGTTTTCCAGTGTTTTAAGATGACTCTAGACATCACTGAAATCCCTGCCATGATCAGTGTGAACTCTCCTCGTGTAATATTGGGGTAGTTGTTCTTTCTTCAATGCAAGGGTACCATCAGTTGTGTCCATGTCTATGTCAGTTAACCATTTCTATCTTTTTAGCTACAGGTATAGCTTATGCCTTTATTTTGTATTGCACATGCAGAGTTTATGCACAAAGGTGCCCTCTAGCGTCCAGTATGAATGAAACGCATTACTGTTTATTACAAGTGTGTGCTGACAACACTTTGAGAAAGTGTTGCCCTTTGTATTTCTAAAGATAGCACATTTGTCTCTCAGTGGATACATTAATTATTGTCACTCATCAAGATATTTTAAAAGAAACTAGGAAATGTTATGATAAGTCCATACAGCCCATCCCTTTTTTGCACAACTGAGTCTGAGCGAAATAATGATCAAATGAGATAGCAGGAAATCATGTGAAGGAGGTTGAAAAGAAACATGTTAAAATGTAATCGTACAAAATGCACAAACGGTGCACAAATGACATTGTTTGGAAACGTGAATCATACAGGTTCATGTGCATGATTTAGGGCAACGTGATTTTGCAAAGTATGATGCGACCCTGGATTTACATCTACTGTATGTTGATCCTGGACCATCATTTTTGCTGTAATCCATACCTATTCCCTACCCCTAAACCCAACCATAACTGTAAACTATTCACAAAACCAGAGGGGGATAATAGTTGGAAAAAAATCATGTAGAAGTGCATAAACCTAGCTGTAAACCCAAGCTTAACATATACTGTAAACATATCCCTTAATTCTGATTGGCTGATTGGAATGTTGTTCCAGGATCAACATAGATGTTAATCCAGTAACATGTCCTACTTAGTGAAATCTGCTTGCCATAATTTAGATCTTACAGTTGCATGTGCAAATGACAATGACTGAAATCCAATATTAAATGAGAATTCAAATTCAAACAAACCTTCATTTGCCTATTTGAATTTATGAAAATTAATTTTGAGATTTTAGCAAATGTTAAACAATCGTAAAATGTGTTTTATAATAAGAACTAAAACAATCTAATACTAATTTAAATATGTAAAATGTTAAAATATATAATTTATGTATAAATTATCACAAAAAATATTTTATTTTTTATATATTTCTTTAATTTCTATTTCTTTAAGACAACTGTCCATATTAACTGTGGGGAACAGTTGTAAAGTACTCCAGCTTTGCTTTAACCTGTATTATGTCACTAGTATTTCCCAGACGGGTTGTGGCTGCATAAAAATTAGCTGGATAAGTTGGCGGTTCATTCTGCTGTGGCAACCCCAGATTAATAAAGGGACTAAGCCGACAAGAAAATGACTGAATGTATGAATGAATGAATGTCATTAGTAAGAGCAGAAAGGAGATCTATGTCAAATAAATCTTATCTATCTACTAAACAATCTATACATGTTTATAATTATGATTTCAGCCTCATATTAACTGAACAATTATGATCAATGTCAGCTTTTAATATAAGCATTTAGAATTTCTTTCTTACTATAAAAAAAATTGTTTAAATCAAATACTTAAGAAAAAAAAGACATGAGGGAAGAAGGGCAGACAGAATTGATAAAGAAATTCCACATGTTATCTTTGCCTGAGGATATCTGCCCTATTTTTTACTGCAACAGTCACACACACACACACACACACACACACACACATATATATATATAAACACCTGTTGCCTTACCTTTGTGAGACAGCCGTAATCTTGGATACACACTTTTTGTCGACTGAGTCGCGGAGCTGATCCAAAACACCAAGCAAAGCGTGAAAGTCCACACACCCCACGCCATCCTCACACACTCCGCTTAAATGTATCACACCGTCTCCTTACGATCCTCCATCCACTGACTGACTGAACTAAACTGAACTGCCGGTTGTAGGAAACGAGTTATCTGTCATCAGCCCAGTCTTCAAACTCACTTCACTGAGTGTGAAGAAAACCGTCTAAATGCTGTGACTCAACCCTGGCTGACTGTTCCTGTCACTGTAACCACAGCCGATGAATTCCTCAAACTCATAAGACTGTGTGTGTGTGTGTACGGGTGTGTGTCTGATCTTGGAGAGCCTCCACCTCCTCTAATGAGAAGAAGCCTCCTCTGTCTATGAAATACTGCTTCTCCACGCGTCAGTCCTCTCTCTCCTCCTGACTGCTTCAACTCCCCTGCTGAAACACATGGACATCAGCCAAACACTCTCATCCACCCCCCAGCACTCGCTCCTTCTGTCTCTCTCTCTCGCTCGCTCTCGTTCTCTCAGGTCCGCCCTTACATTCTGCTCTCTTTATAGTGCCCTTCTGTCCTGATTAATGCTGCAATTTACAGTCACTGCAACTGCCAAAACCTGATTAAGTCATTTTTTAGGCTTCTAGAAATTAGCATAAGACAGCTGACAAATTTCCTAATCAGAATTGTGTAAGGAATTGCGAGTGCTTGAAATGTTTTTTTTTCTTTGTAACACTTTAAAATATTCGTCCATGTTATTAATGTATTACTGAGTGTTTGCTCATGTTAGTAAATACATTTATTATATCTTTGTTAAGGCTAATGGCAAGTTAAATAATGGTAGTTCTTGTTAACTCACTGTGCATTAACTAATGTTAACGAGCACAGCTTTGGAATTTTACTAATACGTTAGTAAATGTTGAACTGTGATTAATGAACGCTTTACAAGATTATTTATACTTCGTAAGTGTTGGTAAATACACTCACCGGCCACTATATTAGGTACACCTGTCCAACTCCTCATTAATGCAAATTTCTAATCAGCAAATCACATGGCAGCAACTCAACGCATTTAGGCACATGTACAGGGTCAAGACGATCTGATGCAGTTCATACAGAGCATCAGAATGGTGAAGAAAGGGGATTCAAGTGACTAAATATGACATGGTTATTGGTGCCAAACAGACTGGTCTGGGTATTTCAGAAACTGTTGATCTAATTGGATTTTCATGCACAACCATTTCCAGGGTTTAAAAGGAATTTATGACCACAGTTTACCCATCTTCTGATGGCTACTTCCAGCAGGATAACCCGCCATGTCAAAGTGCGAATCATCTCAGACTAGTTTCTTGAACATGACAAAGAGTTCACTGTACTCAAATGGCCCCCTCAGTCACCAGAGATCAATCCAATAGAGCACATTTGTGATATGGTGGAACGGGAGATTTGCATCATGGATGAGCAGTCGACAAATCAGCAGCAACTGTGTTGTCAGTATGGACCAAAATCTCTGAGGAATATTTCCAGTACCTTGTTGATTCTATGGCACTAAGGATTAGGGCAGTTCTGAAGGCAAAAGGGGGTCCAACCCAGTACTGGTGAGGTGTACCTAATAAAGTGGCCAGAGAGTGTAGTATAACTAACATGAACTAATGGACCATTATTCTAAAGTGTTACCGTTTTGTTGTTGTTGTTTGTTTTTTTAGAGTAAGGAAATAACATTATTATGTTCAAATATAAAAACAAAAATGAATGTTAACATATAGAAGGGGCCTTACATCAGGGTCATGAATAGAAATTAAATTGAGAGTTTAATTAAAAGCAAAAATGATGTCATCATTCCCTTAACCCTCATACAAAAAATGGGTGCTTTTTTGAAGCTTAAAAAGTCCATTTACTTCCAATGATAATAATATCCTATTTAGTTGAACTATTTCTTTAAATGTACATTAAACTTTACTGAATTACTAAAAATGAACAAATAAAAAGGCAGAATCTCTTGTACATACTCTTACGGAATACAATATCCTTTTATTTTCATTAGTTCATTTACAATACAAAAATCAATAGTTTAAATCAATAAAAAGTGTAAAATCAATAAAAACTAATTAAGCAGATTTAAAGGGGATGCCTCGATTACTACATCCAACTAAAAAACCCGGCTCATCCATCTTTATTGCATCTTTTCTTAATCACATTTAGGTATCAATTTGAAACTGAGCACAGACAAGCATGTCCTTCTGTCAATAAGGATGTGCTGTAACAAATTAGAAAGGAACTTTGTAATCAATTATTGTTTAGAGTAGACGTTCCAACATTATGCCAAAAACACAAATTGTGTTCTTTGTCGATTCTAAACAAGACAAATGAATCCTGACATGAAATCAGAAGTGTATGAGTGTAATGATTACATTCTTGTTTGCCCTACTGAAATTACACAGGCAACTGACAACGGTTTATACAATTTAAACATGTACACGAGGAGCAGTCATTTACAGTACCCTTGTTCATCATATTTTCCACTTTCAATGTCCAAAGATCTTTGTAAAGGACTAAGCTTGCAATGCATCAAATTTAGCTTTAGATTTTTTAATTAAAAGTTCAATTGAGACCGCGATTTCATGCATTAACCAACAAAAATCTACTTGTATAATTATAGCCAGTGGTGATACTTTGTTTTAAAAAGGTGTTGCAAATGTGCAGATTAAAATTGGATGATTTAATTTTCCCTTTTATTTTAAAATATATTTTGTAATATGCCAAATATGGCTACACAATACAATCCAAAAATGTAGTATAATAGTATATGCAATATTCACATGGCAAAGAAGCAATACATTACATTTATTTTATGTGCAGCATGCTAGTTATCAATCAGATAGGGCCTTACAATCTTTATACCCACCGACAGTGTCAAAAAATAAATACAAATGGCAGGAGTCAACAAAAAACATGTAAAAAGCCAATAAGAATCTGCCGAGGTTTAGTCGTTCATATTATTTTAAGTGAAGTTTCACAAACTAATTTCGAGGAGCACGTGATAGTGACCAGCTGCAGGCAATCCTATCACTAATCACTAGCTAGCCAATCAAATCATTCCATATATAATGAATATCCAGCCTAAACTTCATCCCTCATCTTCATTTGGAAGACCCCTTACCATCCAACCCTTATCCCTCCTCCTCAATTCTAGGATCGGGCGACACAGTGGCTCAGTGGCTAGCACTGTTGCCCCACAGCAAAAAGGTTGTTGGTTTAAACAACAGCTGAGCCAGTCAACGCTCTCTGTGCAGAGTTTTCATGTTCTCCCCATGTTCAAATGGGTTTTCTCTGTTTACTTTAGACGGTGGGAGGAAACCAAAGACATGAAACACAAATAAAAGTCACAAGCACCTAATACGTACACACTGGCACAGTTGGCGGCCTATTCTTGGGAAGTTATCGAGAACTACCTGATCTTGTATCCTTCCTAATTCTCATTGACCAGGCAGGAGCCTTGGGCTCATCTATCTCCAAGCTCAGGGTTCTTTAACGAGACAGCATGCCAAACCTGCTAAGATAGTCAAGCATTATCTAAGTATGAACTCTTGAAAGTCTAAAAAATGTTAGCCATTGACGTTTTTTTTTTTAGCCTGAATGATTTTTCATTAGATCGTGAACATCAGAACGTCTGTTTAGTATGAACGCTAAATAATTTTTTTTAGGAGATGTTAATAAAGTGGGTGCCAATACCTTAGTGGTTAGTGTGGCGACATATGCACTGCAAAACCCAAAAAGTTAAGTCAAGTAACTCAAACTATTTGAGGAAACCAATTGCAACACTATTTCAGATCAAAAACTAATCCTAGCATTGTGAAATTAATCCATTTGAGTAAACAACGCAATCTGAGCACAGTAAAATCGCAGTAAACAAAGAGAACTCAAACCAACTGAGTACTGTAACTCAAACCGTTTGAGAAAACCTATTGCTACAAACCATTTGAGTTAAAACAAAAATCTATACGAGTACTGTGAACTTAATCCATTTAAGTTGAAGTAATGAGATATTTGATTAACTCATTGCCATCAACACTGAGATCAAAACTCTTCAAATAAGTAGAATTAACTTTAGTAAATTATGAGTTAACTACACTCATTTCATTTGATAAAGTTAACTGTTGTGTTTTAAAGTGTGACGCCAATGCACTTCAGGTGTCCCGAGTTCGAATCCCAGCTCATGAACCTTAGATCCCATTCAACCTCCTCTCTCCCACTGTCAAAAAGGCAAAAGGTCAAAATAAAACCTATTAATATAAAATATAAAATGTTAATATAATAGCTTTTTAATAGCAAAATGTAACATTGCGAGTATACATTGCGAGAAACAAGTTGAAAACCTAGCAATGCACAATAAATAAATAAATAAATTGCTGCTTGTTCAACCAACTTGTTTAAAAGGAGTTGAAACAACACAATTCTTGAGTTTTTTGGGACAACTTAATTGTTTTATGTTGAATCCATTAAAATATGTAAAAACTAATAAGTTCACTTAATTCCTTTGTCGTCCAAACACAAATCGATTATGCAGAACCCTGCATTTATTTTACAGTGCATATACAGAGAGAAACTTTACCTCTAAAGCAGTGTTAAGTTTACAACTTCAATTACTTCAAACCCTTTATTTGATGAAAGCAGCATCTCAAGGGAATGATGGTTAAAAAATAAAAATAAATCTCTGCGGGTGCAGATATTTAAGGTTTACTGGGAAACCACTTCCCCTTACAGTTCCCATCTCACAATCTTCGAATATTATACAAATTACAATGCCACAAGATGATGGAAAATGCAGAGCAGAAGTCAAGCACTGATGCCATTGACAGAAACCACCAGTGACAAATGAGAGGCAGCTTCAGCTCTGATCATCACTAAACAATCAAGTGACGGTGTGGATGTGGGTCTGCGGTCGACTGAACCCTCTCTTTCATCTGGGTCTGTGGTCATGCAGCCCGATGCTGGATTCATTACAGCAGCTCTGCCTTTGCCAACGAAAGCGCCATTAAACTGCACTTCACTTTTCTCTTTCATGCCCCTTTTCTTTGTCATTCTCACTTCTACATGTTTCTCTCAGTGACCGATGATCTCAATCCCAAAGCGCTTAAGAAAACGTCTAGCATTTGGATCAGTCGGAATTGATTATGACTGCCATTCACTTGTCATTCTTAAAGAAAAGAGGACACCCGTACCTCCTAATAGCAGCACTGCACTGTGTAATTTTGTAAACCAATGGCAGCTGATCCTCGTTAAATTTGAGATGATCTCATACCATGTTCACATGTGGTATACTGTTACACTTATTGAATCGAGTGACATCATATTGCTTTGTAAACACTCAACTTATACTTTTTTTTTTCCCTCATTAAAGAGTGATCTAAAAAAAAAAAAAAAAACTCCCCATTCACCAACACATGGTTACTATACTTAATAAAAACCTATTTTTCTCCATCTGT